AATCCCTGCTAAGCACATGTGTACATGCCCTCACCTGTTACACCAATAAGTTCTTCACATCTGTGTGACAAAGTGGGGATTGTGTTCACTCTGTTTGCTTTGCTGTGTTGCGGGTGATTTCTACCGTCCTGTGGTGGCCCCCTGTGTATATCTCAGTTTCCCTGGGCACTGCTCTGCTGTCTAGAGGGGGATGGGAATTGCAGGTGTGACTCACTGAAAGAGAATGAAGCCCATCAGCCTGAGTCTGAAAGGGGGATGGGGGGTTGACCAGGAGCAGAATGGGGGAACAGGGCCCAGGCCTCTTCTCCCCATGATGGGTTGACTGATTGCTCCTGGTTCATGTGCTAACAAGTCTGATCTATGCTGTGTCCCTGTGAACCAATAAACCTTCTGTTCTGCCTGCTTACTGAGAGTTACATCTGGCTGAGGATGAGGGTGCACTGACGAGTGACTCCCCATGCCGTGGTGACACTCTGCCTCAGTTTCCCTGAACAATATAGAGAAAATTTGCATCTTGCAGGGATGTTGTGAGGACTATGTAATTAATTATTGATTGCAAATGGCCAGGAAGATAAAACGTTATTGCTATTCTCATTCACACAAAAGGATGGCAATTCAAGTCAAAGTTTGGCTTTGTGCTGACTTGCGGATTTTACTATAAAGTGTAGCTCTGCTTTCTAATCTGTAGCCTACATGGCTGCCAGTAAAGCAGGCTGATACTTACAAAGGAGAGCACTTTCCAATAACAAATGGAAGGGATTATCTTTAGTACTTCTAGTGAACACAGCTTCTGCGACAGTTCATTTTGCAGGGATAAGAAAAAAATAACTTGTCTTAATCCATTGAGGCTTGCCATGAGTTTTCACTGTCATGGTAGGAAGACAAGATTTTTTTCCTTACCACTTATTAGGATCTAATTTTAATTATATCCATTTATGAATGTCTTGAAATTGTCTGAGCTATTTAAATGTGATGAAATGAAAAAATTGAAAACATCTGAAGCCGTAAAGAAAAATATCACAAACCATAAGATTTATCTACAAAGATTAAGACAGATTTAGTGACAAAGACTTAAGAAAATAACAGATCTGAATAAAAACAGTAGATTGCATTAAAAGACAAAGTAAGATATAAATATAACAAAATGACTCAAGAAATAATTAAGTTTTAACCACTTAATTGCTATTTGATTGTTACATATAAACAGACTGCAGCTGCTGTCCTCTGTCTCTCTATCTATCCATTTATCTACTATATAGGTAGCCCTCGTAACTATTCTATAGGAGTAGATTCCAAATAGTTAACAACAGAACAACAGTGTATCATTCTTTTTTTTCATCCCAGCGTGTAGGAGATAACTTGTAGGGTCACGAGGAGGGGGGTAGAAAGAAAGCCAAGTCAAAAAGATGAATGCTGAAAAAGCAATAAGGGCCTGTAGTCATTCTTATTTCTTCCTAGAGAAGCATCCATAGTCAGAATCTGTGAACGTTCAATGTCCTCTTCCTGGTTGATAGCTTTATGCTTCTAGTGGGACATAGTTGTCCATGTCAGCCATTGTCACAGAAGGAAAGGAACTCTATTAGGCCCAAACTTTGTAGGCCTTTGAATATGAGGAGAGACACATTGAACTGAATTCTCTTGAGTGGAGAACCAGTGCAAAGAACCCTACAAGATGTGCCTACAATGTGGAGGGAGGTTTCAGAAGAGGTATGCAAATAGCTCTCACATTTGCATACCTTCTTCCATTTTTTTCCCCGGAAGAGGCTTTTCCACCATTCAGCCCTGTCTTCAGCAGACAGTCTTAACGACCCTGCCCCAGCTCGACTCAGAGCTCATCTGTGAGTCCCTCTGCCTGGATGCAGGAGCAATGCCTTTGCTACTGCACCCCATGGTCAAGAGACGATTCTGGACACTGGACACCAGTTCGAACTGGTGGGACCGGCTGCTGATGGAGATGTGACTGGCCATTTTTCTGGAAAAAAATTCACTTACACCCACACTGCTATTGTGTTCTTTCAAAAGAAAATCAAAAAAATGCAGGGGGTTTTCCGACATTGGTAAACCTCGTTCTATGAGGAAGAACGCCTTTTCTGAAAGAGTTCTTTTGGAAAAAGGCATGTGGGGATGCAGAAAAGTGAGTTTTTTTGAAAGAAGAGGCCTCCAGGAAAAAGCACAGGTGCCCTGGTGGACACTCCATCCACACTAATCACAGCTGTATAGTTCCTGTCTATAGCTCTTAGGCACCCTGGACTAGTCTTATGGCAGGAAGCTGGCATGGCAGCAGCACCCTGTCCACATGGCTCTGCCCGCTAAAGGCCTGCTGACCTATGGTACAGTCGCAAGCCCCCCAAAACTCCCCTGGCTTGCACAGGGAGCAGCACCAGGTCTCTGAGGACACACCCAGGGGCACCAATGCTGGGTACCTTCCTGGTCCGGGGTGGTCCTCCTGGAACTGTGTGTGGGGGGGAGGAAATAATGCAGGATCTCCACTCCTGGGCTATGTCTAGACTGCAAGCCTCTTTCGAAAGAGCGCGTCTAGACTACACGCGGAACTTTCGAAAAAGCGGCTTACTTTTTCGAAAGAAAGCACCCAGCGAGTCTGGATGCTCTCTTTCGAGGAAGCCCTATTTACATTCAAAAACGCCTTCTTTCGAAAGAGGAACTTTCGAAAGAAGGCGTTCTTCCTCGTAGAATTAGGTTTACCGCCATCGAAAGAAAAGCCACGTTCTTTCGATTTAATTTTGAAAGAACGCGGCTTGAGTCTGGACGCAGGTGAAGTTTTTTTGAAAAAAGGCTACTTTTTTCGAAAAAACCCCTGAGTCTGGACACAGCCCTGGAGTGAAATGCTGACATCTACAGCTGGATGGCCAAGGTTCTGGCCCAGAGGGGACACCACCCCCGCATCTTGGATCAAGTCAGGAGCAAGGACAAGGACACCACCCCTGCATCTTGGATCAAGTCAGGAGCAAGGACAGGGAATCCGGCTCTCACTCTGGGGCACACTCCTACCCATATTGCAAACAGCTGCACCAGCCCCTGGGGGGTGGTGAAGCCCTTTCTCCACCCATACTGGTGGACTTGGGCATGGAGACACCAGTGCTCTCCCACCCAAAATAATAAACAAACATGAATATTTTCAGATTCTGGACTTCACCAGTGCCACAGCAGTAGACACTACATTAGGACCACCTGGAAGCTGTTGTAGCATTGGGGTGAAGGATGCGAACTAGGCCACATAACCTAATATTTGGCCATTCAGACAAGACCTGTTAGAAAATGGCTTGTCCATCTTTTTAAATCTTAATAGAAAAGGCTCTCATTGACCAACTCCTGTTCTTTCATGATCACACAAATTGCTTCCCCTTCTGTTTGTGGTAGAAAAGGTTTCCTAACATTTTTCCATGAATGAAACTTGGGTATGTTGGTATGGGATTACTTATCCTTTTGAAAAGAAATTCTCAGTCTGTCTGCTTTTGTTCTTCATTCCGTCTTCCTCATCCCTCTGTTCTGTGTTTGTCAATTGGAAACAGGGCTGGATTAAAATTAGAGGGTTAGGGGTTGCAGCCCAGGGACTAAAAGATCTCCAGGCCTAAGTCCTAGCACCCTAACTTCCATCCAGTCCACATATCCCAACCACAGTGTCTTTTCCTGAGCCCCCTCCTACATTCCAAACCTCTTGGCCTCAGTTTTGGTCCACTTCCTGTACTCCAAACACCTCATCACCAGCCCTTACCCCAGAGCCTGCAACTCTAGTCAGAACCCTCACTGCCCCTCCTGTCTCAATCTGTGACCCCTTCCCTCATTCTGAATGCCTCTTTTTTGGCCCCATCCCAGAGCACTATGAGGCCCCATAAAATCTAAAGGCCTAGAGCCCCCAGAAAAGTTAATCTGGCCCTAACTAGAAAAAAAATGAACAACGTGGCCCTGCCTATCTGCAGATCATCAGCAAGTGTACTCATGAGTTGTTCATGGTTTGGAAACTTACGGTTATGTCTTCACTGCTAAAAATGGTGGATATTTTTATAGAAAGTTGGCATTCTCACTGTAAAAATCTTAGTGGAGACAAGGCACAGATATTACCTCACTGTGTCTACATGAGATCAACATTATACTACCCCACACCAGTTACATCTAAGAAAAACACTCGAGTCATCGCCACTAACATTTTATAGCATAATAGGTAACTGTCATTAGTTATCTCATGGCAAAACACGCCACTTTTTGGCAGTGAAGACTCAGTAATCTATTAGATCATTAGTATAATATTACTACCTGGAAGGCACAAGATAGAGTCTCCAATAACAAAAGAGAGAATTTCAGAGATTAAAATGAAAGAAATTGTAAAAAAAACCACCAGAAACTTCTATTGTATCACTAACACCTCTAGAGTCCTCTTTTGTCCTATAATGGAATGGAAATAATCTCTGTTACCATGCTAGGGTAACAATCACGTGAAAACATTGGTTCTCAAAATACAACAAAAGTGGAGAGAGCATCATCTGAAAATTAATATAAGATCGTTCCGTCAGAGTATAAAATCAGACTACTTCACATTCCAAGAAGCTGAGAACAGAGAGAATTAGGGTACGTCTAGACTACAGGCTTTTGTCGACAGAAGTTTTGTCGACAGATACTGTCGACAAAGCTTCTGTCGACAAAGAGCGTCTAGACTACATTCAGTTCTGTTGACAAAGCAAGCTGCTTTGTTGGCAAAACCCTGTAGTCTAGACACAACCCTAGATGCAATAACACCTTCTGTTGACAGAACTCTGTCGACAAAAGACGTTATGCCTCGTAAAATGAGGTTTACCAGCGTTGACAAAACTGCTGAGTTCTGTCGACGTTATGTCGACAGAACTCAGCGGTAGTGTAGACGCAGGTATAGTTTTGTCGACAAAACCCTGTAGTCTATACACACCCTTAGATACATGCTGATAAGTGACTGGATTAAAAATGCTTTGATATACACATATTTTAAAGAAATCTTGTTGTTGGTTAGACTCTGCAATGAACACAAAATCATTCAGTCATTGTGAAGACAGAAAATCAGCTACTAAGCAGACACAATTTTTATTTTGAAACTTCAAATTCCTTAATGCTCTAGTGTTGAAAGAATAAAAAGGGTGGGAAACAGCAAGTTCGGCTGTAAAAATGATCAAACTTTAATTTTAGAAAATTACATTTTTTCCATCTTTATTGTGATTATAGTGACTCCATATCTCTTCTCCTTGTATTTTCAATTTCAGGATTTGCCAGTCTTCCCATAAACACAATTGAACCTAGAAATTGAAAGTGTATTTATGTGTTTACTTGTAAGCATTATTGTGGATTTCAAACAATAACTTTTTTTACTCTATTCTGAATGTTCCTTGTCTGTAGAAAATATGTCAGTTAAATGTAATGACACAAACAACATGACATTTCTGTCCCTTATCTGGCCAAATTGACCCTTCCAGCCCTCATTATTTATATGAAGAAGAAATCTTATTCCATACATATAAAATTTCATTTATATCCAAGCTACAATTGTATGGCTCACAGTACTTAAGATACATAATTTTGTATCATACCTTCTTTGCATGTTCAATATAATTGCATGTCACAGTTGTTCTGTTACTGTGGCTACTTTTTTTCCTATGTACCAGAGATTTTATTATGAACACTATGATAGAGAGTCCATATTAAAGTTTCTATCCTAAAAGGGTCTATTGTTTCCCACAAAGTAGATGATCAGTCACTATAACTGATGATCAGTCAGTTTTGTTTTTTGTGCCTTTTGAATCCTCTGTAAAGTTTTTGGTTTGTTTCTCTTCAGAAGTTTTAATAGGAAATCTTTATATTTGTGCTCTGAGATAAATTAATCCACAGCAGTCTTATTGTTGAACAATCTTTCTTTTAAAAAAAGATCATCTTTGTAAAACTTGACAGAAAGGTGGATCCTGACTAGATCTGGTGCAGCAGGTAGGTTTTGCAGTGTGATTTTAGTTGCTATTCATCATCTGATTGAAAGTTTATGCACTATGAACATAAATCTTAACAATACTTCAGTACATGTCAAGTTCTTTGTATCAATAAATCACTGTAGCTTTGCACTTTGGAAAGATTAATTAAACCAGCACATTAAGTTACCTTAGACTGTTAAAGAAATATTACTGCTTTGGTGTAAAGAGTTTCTTCCAGGCTAACCCCAGGGCAAGTTTAAGATTTTGTCATTGTTATTTTTAGTAAAAGTCACAGACAGGGCACAAGCAATAAATAAATTCATGGAAGCCTATGACCTGTGTGTGACCTTTACTAAAGCTAAGAGAGGGGGCTAACCCTTGTTTCCCATGGTAGCTTGAGTCCTGAGACTAGGTGTTCCTGCCACCTGTGACAGCTCAGAATTCTGGGGCTGGCAGCTAGGAGCAGCAGGGTCCTCCTGCCCCAGGACACAGGGCTGAAGCAGAAAATGTCATGGAGGCCTCTGAAAGTCACAACATCCATGACTTCCATAAGCTTCTTGAGACAAATCTTATCTTTACCGATGGGTTAGGCATTTTTGCAATGTATGCCCTCCTGTGCCTCATTTCTCTCCCTGTTCCTCGATGACAGCTCCAGTAACTTAGACTGCAAACCCTAGAGAATTGTTCTCCAAACCCTCTCTGGGGTAGATTATCATTATTAAAGACTTTTTACTTTGCCTCAGGAATTAATCCCTTTGTGATGTGACCTCTTTCTGAGTTCCTGCTGTTGCCAAAGGCCACTTCAGTTTGACTCTAGTATTATACATAGTAAAATCCAGTTTTTCTCCCCTACTGGAAGTTTCTTTTTGCAGTGAATTCACTAATCAGGAAAAGTGTCAGATTCAAAATGGATACTCTGGAGGGAGAAAGTCTTCATTAGAATCCTTTCACAGAGCTGCCTCTTCATCTCCTCCACAGAGGCTACTGAAAAGACATTCATTGTCATCCATGGTAAACCATGCTTCCCTGACATTTATAGAGCATTATTAAATGATTATGCAGTGTGCTGTGTGCTCAAACTTTTTAAAGACCTAGAGAGCAGTCAATTAATAAGAGGTAATCTTTCGATTTAATTAGAAGAGATTTTTGTCCACCATGGTCCTGGAGGGTATCAAAAATTCCATGTAGCTTCACTGGTTCTTTTGCATGTAAAGTCATTGAAGATTTTCAATGTAGATAATTTACCTTGGATGACAGCATTCATATAAGGCCAGAAAAGGACATCTCTTCTCATTGCAAAGTCAGATAGTCTATATTTAGCATTTTTGTTGCCATGCAGTATTCTGATATAACTAGCCAATTAGCAGATTTTCAGGTCTCTCCTCCATGTCGGTCTTCACTCCTAAGCCTCCGGTCTCTTGCTCCATCTCTCTCTCTCTCTCTCTCTCTTTCCTCCTCCTATTGCCTCCCCCCCCCTCTCTCAGCTCTCCTCTGCCTCCTGCCTCTCTCTCCATCTCTCTCTTTCTCTTCTCCTCCCTCTCCTGCCTCTCACTCGGGTGACTGCGGAGCCCAAACAGTTGCTTGCACTGCTTGTTCCCCTGCGGCCACCTGGCTGAGCAGCGCAGAAGTCAGCCGAGTGCAACGGTGGGAGGCAACAGCACTCCCCAGAGGCAAGACCGTAACGCTACAGCATTACAGAGTCTCAGACATTGGGCTACTATATATATGATATTCTGTATCCGTAAACTGCTGTGTGTTCCTTCTTCTATTGTCCAATAGTTTTTTTTTTAATCTTCACTATATAACTATGGCTTTTCCTATTGGCCATCTATCTAGAGTTGCTCTCTCAAGCTGCTATAAGGTTGGGCATGGGTTTTTTGAACATTTGAGTTTATCTAATTTTGTTTTTAAATAGCAATACCTGAGAGACTCATTTATATACAGGGGAGCAGATAGCCCAAAAGGGGGGGCTGGCTTCGTCCTCCTGGAAGGAGTGGGATCTTTGGCAGAACTGGCAGGGCCGGGCAGTCAATCCCTAACATCATCCAGAGCACACCACTCTGTCCTCCCCCCAGCCCTGAGAGCCACCTGGAGTAGGTCACATGGTGCTCCAGTGGTGCTTTAAAGGGCTCAGGTCTCCGGATGCCACTGCCATAGCAGGAGAAGCATTTGGGAGCCTTGGGCCCTTTTGAATCACCAGGCCCCAGGGCAGCTGCCCTGTTTACTTTTCCCACTCCGCATCAGTGGGCCTGTTTATATGTTCAAATAACTCTTCCAGAAGTCCCTGGATATCACTATTTATAGGAGACCTTGAAGCTTATTTTTTTAACCAGTGCTATATGAACTTGCACAAGTTTGAACTTAATTTGCTGACATCTGACATGGTTCACAGTTACTGAAGGTTAATACTCCTCTCACATGACTGGAATTGTAATTCACTAACTGTGATAGCTACTGTTATATTCCTATCACTCAATATCACTGTAATAGCTGAACACATTTCTTTAGAGTATTAAGCAATGTGATTAACCTCTGTCATGTGTGATTTATTCTCTCTCTCATCATTTCTCTGGGATGAGTGTTCAGACAAGTTGTATGTGGGTGGGAAAGTGCAGCAGCCTCCAAGAAAGGGGGTGATTGCATCAGAAGACAGGGAATTGATCCAGATATTCGAAAATAACTATACTGTTTTACAGAATTTGGCCCATTCATGTTTAATCTAAATAGGCTGTATCAGGCTATTATTGGTCTTTAAACGCCTATCATTATGAGAGATTTCTTGTAACTCATTTCCAAAGTTGCCTTAACAAAAACTACTGATTGTGTAATTGTTAAAAATAATGGTAATTTTTCCTCTTTTATAGCAGCCATTACCATCTCCTATAAATGAGTTGTCACTCACATTAATTCTTAATTTAAAGGAGTATCTTAGTTTTGACATTTTAATTTCAGCAGAGATCGTAAAACAGAAGAGATTTTCATTAAACACTGATTGTTAAAAGTTATAGCTAAAAAAAGAAGAATTTTCCTCTGGTATCCCCCATCCACACACACATAGTATTGTGGGCTGATTGCCATCATTGGCTCTGTAATACAAAAAAAAAAAAAAAACTGCTGCCATGGGGTAATGAAATAAAGCAAACATGTTTATTTTAAATGTCATGATTTCCCATTGCATCAATGTCACATGTTTCTTTAGTTCCTTTGATTCATGGAGCTTATGAAATGTTTAAGTGCTAAGGAATTTACACTAACTAAAGGTTAAAATAAAAACTGTTATTGTTCAATTGAATCCCAGGCATAGGAAAGGGAGGAACATGGTCTTACCTTTGAATATTTCTGGAAAATAAGTGTTCTAGTTGTGTTTATTTGGAAGGGGTTTAAAGGATCTCAATTTAGCAGAATCAGTTATCATGAGCAGGCGGGGAAAAAAACGAGAAAAATAGTGCAAGAAGAACTAAAGCTAAAATATTAATTCAAGAAGCTGACTTAAAACTTCTGCTAGAACCTAACACTTATAGGATTATGGGGTCTATTACTATTTAAAAATAAAACGTCCTTAAAATAAAACTGATTTCACATCACTTTAAACAATAGTTTCAGACATAAAGCTTATCTAAAAGATACTCATGAATTCTGTCATGTCCAACTTTTAAATAAGTATATTAGCCTCAAGGAACAAACTTTCCTCCAAAATCATTAGAATAGGGGTGCCAAACTCCTTCTGCAGAAATGGCTAAATTATATTTTTAATTAATACCCTTATGTCAGGGCTACAAAGCTAAGGCAATGTACTCTCAAGCCACATAGTAGAAATCCCAATTGTATATCACCAGATTTGCAAAGTGACTGAGAGAAAAATATGGTGCTTAGGTAGTAACTAATATTTTAGTTAGCAAAGTTAAATGTTGCACACATCTCCACCTTCATGGGGAAGGAGACAGAGAATGTAAACCATGTTTAGGACTACCAAAAATTCAGCTTTTTATTTTGTTCTGGACACAGAACCCAGTGGTATCTATTCTCTGACCCCTTGCTCTTGTAAGAAAAAGTTACAGAGCTCAGAGATCAGGCATTTGATTTCATTCAGGTTGATCCTGCATTGAGCAGGGGGTAGGACTAGATGATGTTCTGAGGTTTCTTCCAATACTAATCTTCTATGATTCCATGATTTAGAGACAGGAAAAGAAATGAGAACACTACATTCTTCACTGCTTATAACAGTGTTGTTTTAAAATTTATGTTAACCACGTGGAAGACCACCTGCTTTGTCCAGTCCTCTTATATTGATCCTTACCTACATCTAACCACCATATCTCTACATACTAAGTAAATATTTCTGCTGAAGTGATCAAAAGTTAAATAATGTTGATATTTAATAGTCATCAGACTTGAGAGGTACCGGAGGTCAGATTCTGCTCTCAGTTAAATGAATGTTAATTGATATCAGCAGTACTGTCAACTCTCATATGATGCGCTGTTTCTAGACTGGCCAGTTTTTCCAGAAAATCAGCCGCTTTTCCGGAAAAACTTGCCAGCTGTCTACACTGGCCGCTTGAATTTCTGCAAAAGCACTGACTTCCTACTGTAAGAAATCAGTGCTTCTTGCGGAAATACTATTCTGCTCCCGTTCAGGCAAAAGTCCCTTTTGCGCAAAGCTTTTGTGCAAAAGGGCCAGTGTAGACCGCTCAGATTTGTTTCCGCAAAAAAGCCCTGTTCGCGAAAATGGCGATCGGGGCTTTTTTGCGGAAAAGTGCGTCTAGATTGGCACGGACGCTTTTCCACAAAAAGTGCTTTTGCAGAAAAGCGTCTGTGCCAATCTAGATGGTCTGTTCCAAAAATGCTTTTAACTGAAAACTTTTCCGTTAAAAGCATTTCCGGAAAATCATGCCAATCTAGACGCAGCCACAATGTTTACAAACCCCTCACAGAGGCAGAGGCAGGGCAGAGGCTGGAGCAGTACAGGGCCAGGAAAGTGCTGCCCCTCAGGCACTGCTGAGCATTTGTCTGTGGAAGGGAGCAGTATAAAAAGAGCTCCAGCAACCATGGTGAGAGGAGGAGAGAAGTTATTTCCAGGAGGAGAAGGAACTCTTACTGAGACAGTTTTGTAATAAGTCTTTCCACCACTCCTTTGAGACATCAGCCAAGATGCAGGCCAAAGTACGGATTGCCTCCGTCAGTCCTGAGACTTGGGGTTTGGAGCAAAGGACTATAATCAAACAATAGCCATGTCCCGAATTGAGACATAGGTAAGGTAAGGAAGTGGCCCATGGGAAAGTGAAGAGAAGGTGGTCTAAGCATAGGTCAGCCTTTCTGTCACACTGCGAGGGCCCTTAGCTGGGATCTGGAGAAGTGAGAGTGCCTGGGTCCTCCTACCCATCTGAGATTCACCAAAGTCTCGCCTTGGAACAGGCAGGACTATGAGATTACTGGTAAGAAAGCTGATCCATCTGAACCCTAATACATTGAATTGACAGAGGCCATGACCTCTAGGCTTACTGGCTGAATTGACAACCATGCTATATCTTGAAATTTTACTGTGACACTGGTTTTTTTTTACCTGTCAGGGAGCTGAAGCCAGCAAGATGGCTGCCATTTCTCCAATTTTACTGTGACACTGGGTGTTTTTTACGTGTCAGGGAGCTGAAGCCAGCAAGATGACTGCCATTTCTCTACAGCCTATCTGCATTTGGAAAGGAGGCTTTGCTGAATAAAATTGACTTTCATCTCCCATTGATTTCAGAGAGATTGAAGTTGGATCTACTGGCATAATGTTCACTCATATAAGGGTCAGCCGGGCTCAACAGGGCTAAGGACTGTGAGGACAATAGAGACACTGTGGAAGGTGGATAGGGAGAAAACGGGGAGTAGGAGAAAGGAATGGCAAGGGGAAGACCTGATCAGGGAGAGTGCTCCCAATTTAGGGCAGAGAAGAGGGTGGGAGGGAAATTGGGAAAGTATTGCTTCTGGGATAAGGCTAAACCAATTCCATATTGATTGTATTGTGCTATTCCACTTGCATCAAGGTGGTGATGGCAACCCATCATAAGATTGAGGCAAGGGTAAGTAAAGTCATCATTTGAGCAGCCAGAGGGAGTCAGGCAGTGCTGTGTATATTAAAAGTTGACTTTTGTAAGATTGAGGCAAGGGTAAGTAACGTCACCATTTGAGCAGCCAGGGGGAGTCAGGCAGTGCTGTGTATATTAAAAGTTGACTTTTCAACGAGGGAGTATCCAGCACACAGTGACAGGAGATTAGAGGTGAGTTAAAAAAATCTAGAGACTAAAAAAACATTTGATATAAAAAAAATCTCATGATTTTGGGAGAGCTAACAAGGATTTTTGATTTCTTGAGGTTGGCAATACTATATTAGTGAAATTAATCCAGATATACATCCATGTCATTTAGGACTGAATCTGACCTAATTCTTTTGTCTGTCAATGCAGGAAGACAGCTTCATTCACATTACCAAGGTTCTCTTTACAACCTGAATGGTTAGAATTACTGATTCTCACATGCAAGAGGGAGCAGGGTAGAGAACAGGTAAAGAAAGCTGACATTCTGTAAAAATTTCAACTGATATGGTATCTGAATTAATCAATTAAACAAAGCATATCAAGCTAACAGGTCAGGAGTTTGAAACACATATATGAGAAGATCAAATGAAGATAGAGAATAGTCTGTGAATATATATGAAATGTTCATACCTTGTTAAAAGGACACAAATTCAAACCAACATCTTTGCCAATTTGCTTACTAATAAAACTGGGCCACTTTAAGGAATACTGTTTTAGACAATGGTTGTTGTAGCTTTGTTGGTCCTATAATATTACAGATATAAGATAAGGTGAGGTAATATATTTTATTTAACCAGCTTTTGTTGGTGAAAGAAGCTTTTGAGCTTATACAGAAAGCTTGTCCCTCTCACCAAAAATTGGTTCAGTAAAAGATAATTACCTCACCCACCTTGTATCTCTATTGGTTAGATTAATCAGTTTCACTTTTATTTACAATCAGACGTCATGTCCATTTCAATGTGCTGTTCTGCTTGGGATGCAGACATTGCACAAAAATGTTTAAATACAAACACAAATATTTTTCTTTATTATTATCTTCTATATTTTCCCCCACATTTTGGGTTAGTGCTATCCGACATTCATCTTTCTGAAATATCCCAGAGTGTAGAAGCAATGACCTTACCTGTTATCCAACATTCGTCTTTCTGAAATATTCCAGAGTGTAGAAGCAATGACCTTACCTGTTGGATTATGTTTCAGGATAAATAGGAATGGACGGTTAGCTGCAAACTGGTTATGTGACATACTCATGATAGCTGCCATCTGTGTACCTACAAACAGAAAGCACTTTCAATAGATGTTCTGTTAGGGATAAATCCTTAGCCCACCACAAAGTTTAAGAAGGGCTGGGTGCTGGAGGAGTGCACTTGAAGTAAAGAAGACATCCTCCCTCCCCAAGCCAAGGAAGCTGCTAAAAAGCCTCCCTATGTGGGAAGGAGGAGAGGGGGAAGAGCTACCTGAAGCCAGTGACTGAAACAGCTTTTTTATTTTCTAATGTCCAGGGGGTTGTTGAACAATGCAGTGTAGGAAGTATAAGCAAAGCTAGGCTCTACACCATACAGCCAGTCACCTTCCCATAGCACAAAGGAACTACACCCATTCTGGTAGGAGAGAACTTCTGTAGCCAGGAAGGATGTGCTGGATTTCTGCATCACAGATTAGAAATATTAGTCAGTCATTCTTACAAAAGGGGGAATTTGGTAAAACAGATCAGAAGGTGAGTAGTATTTGATGCAGTAAGGAGGAAGTGATATATCTATATAAAATGTCTTTTACTCTGAGTCAGACACACTGGAAAACTGCTGCTCTTGATTACTAAGTAGCAAATGTATTTTAACTGGATATTTTCTTTAGTTACAAATCATAAAGACAACTGCACAATAACAAGAACAAATCACTTGTCTATTATACAGCTGCTTTGTAGCATGACATTTTCTTTGAAGACTTAATACAAACTACCAAGATAATAACCTCCTGGAGATATTTTGAGACTTTAACTTCTTTAGTTCAAGATGTGGCATTTCATTTTAAAATTCATCTGAATGGAACATTGTAACTATATTCTGTTTTAACTATAGTTATTACCTCCCTAGTAGGCATCTGTCAAACTGAAGGTTTAAAATGGCCCATTTAAGCAGTGATATATGTGCTCAAGAACAATGGTTTACAACTTAAAATGGGCTGGGTAAGAATTAAGATATGATACTGCAAGACTCTGTCATTAAAATAAAATCAGGTTATTTTCTGTTTCATATTAACAGCCTTGCTCTGTATAGTAAATCACTATCTCCATTACTGAGGGCTTCATAAGCAGCTCATAGACAATATGGAATTTTGCCACTCCTAAAAGCTAGACCAGAAATTATCATAAAGACAAGATGTACTGGCTAGGCCCAGCAGGCTAGAGCTTTCTTATTACTATGTGAGGGAACAGAATTCAAATTCCTTGCTCTTAGGCCAGCGGCAGCTGGGGAAACGGAGAAGACAGAGCACTCAGCCTTTGCAGAACAGGGCCTTTTATCTTTCATTAGCCACTATGAGAGTGGAATTGATCAGCTCAGAAGGAACCATCTTTAACAGATCTTAATAGCAGGGCATTTTGGTGGAGGTTAGTTAATGACTGAGGTGCTTTGATATTAAAATGCCTCCAATCACTGTAATATCTAAGCATATGCCACTCAATGACTCTTGCCTCTGAAATGCCTAATATTACAACAAACATTGACCATAGAAAACAAAAATAAATGCAGAAACTGAGAGTGGATATTTAGATGCTAAGAAATTCTAAGGAGGAACATTACGAGGAAAGAAAGTGCAAACAGGAACCAACCCTCCCCCCTGCAAACAAAGAAACCCCAAACAATACAGAGTGTACTTGTGTGGGAGCAACATCTGACTTCCTGCAGATACAAGTATCATATGTACTGCGTAATTCAATTAATGTTGTTCGATCCAGGGACAGATTATGTATTAAGTGCTTAATATAAAGTACTTTCAAGTAGCATGTCTGAGAGCTATGAATTCACTTAATAGCTGCTAGCAAGCTGATTACTTCCAATATCCTTTTTCACTACGTGCCGAATTGAGACCCAATGTACCTAATTCTCCTTTTACATACAGTAGTAAATAACAAGAGTAACTGTGTTATGGGCAATGAAAGTACACAATGCAGAATTTGCTATTCCCACCTAACTTTTCTTGGTTGTTAAAAGTATTTTGTGTATGTGTGTTAAAAATACAAATCAAACATAAATTAAATTACCCCCCCCCCAAAAATAGTCCAAAGTGTGTTTTTACTAGGATTTAAATGACACTTAAGAAACAATTTCCCTGGAGGAAGCCAAATATGGAAATACAGATTTGGCAGTGGCTTGGGCAGTCA